TTTTTGGGTCCGGTCGTGGGCCTGAACTCTGGGCCTGGGCGCTGTCCCTCCACTCTTCAGCTCAGGGCTAGTGCTCTACCACTTGAGCCACAGCGCCACTTCCGGCTTTTTTTTCTGCTTATGTGGTGCTGAGGACACAGGGCCTCATGCATGCAAGGCAAGCGCTTTACCACTGAGCCACCTTCCCAGCCCTACACAATGCTTTTTTCATGTTCGTATTTAACACCACATAGGATAATCTCCAAATCAGATTCTTGTGAAGTCTATAATAAAGTTCCTGAATGTTCAATTCCAAGCCTCTTTGAAGAAAATAAGAGTATCCAGATCAAGATACTCTCTGTCCACATCACTGATCACAGAACACAAACAGTGCTATGGTTCATTGCTAGTATGCCTTTTCCCTGCTTCCCACTGTGGCTTCTGATGTCCTTTCCTAGTCCTGTTCTTCCTCTGATAGACCAGGGCTTCCTCCCTCATCTACACTGTAGACATAGGACATTTGCTTGAAAAGGGGGAGAAATGAGAAGTCCAAAACAAAATCATGAACTGTATGAGAACTAAGGGTTTTTCTGAAAGAATATTATCAGAGTTCTGTTCCCTAAGTTATAAACTGTACACAGTAGCAGTTTTCATTAATAAAGTTTTATGCTACATGCTACAGGTATCTAATCAGTTGTTTCTTACTGAATTAAGATTCTAATCCATCTCTTTTTTTTTTTTTTGGTAATTCTTTTTGTACCAGTTCTTTTTTTTTTATTTTATTGTAAAGATGCTGTATAGAGGGGTTACAGTTACATGAGTAAGGCAGCATTGTTACCCCCTTTCTTGTTGTTTACCCACTATCCTCCATCTCATTTTTGAGACATAAGGAAATTCATTTTGTAGTATTTAAATACATTGTGTTAGTTTCCTTTTCAAGTTTAACTCAACAATTTTGCCTTATTACAAAGACTTAATTTTGTAATAGATTCACCAAAACTCATCTTTATCAAAGACCCCCATGGGTTGCTTGGATTATTTTAATAAATTTAAACCTAAATGTATTAATGAAGGGACAAAAATGTTACTCTAATATATTAGAGAGAAAACTTTTCTGAAATTAAGCTGACAAAAATGATAGATGTTACACTTTTTGCCATTACTCTTGTTGTGTTGCCATTACTCTGTCCAGCACTGGCAGGAGTCCAGAACTTAAAAGGATAGAGTAAACACAGGTATAAAAGATTTGGCTGTGAACTTTCCAGCCGAAGATTTCAAGTAGAAATGGTTCTACTATAGAAATTTCTGTACCAAATGATGTGGTAGAGAAATTTTGAAAGTAAATTTCTGTCAGTTGGGCAACGACTAGTTTCCTTCTCCTCTGCTTAGCTGAAGGAGTTTCAAAATGAGAGAAAAGGATTTATTATTTTTAAAACTTTTTTGTTACTATGAAGTTGATGTGCAAAGGGGTTGTAAGTCAAGTAGAGTACATTTCTTTTTGCTCAGTATCACCCCTTCCCTCACTCACTCACAATTTTCCCCTCTCATCCCCACCCACCAGTTGTATAGTTCCTGGGGAGAAAAGGATTTAAAGTGAGATAAATTGTAAATCCTTTCCAATGTTTGCTCTTTTTCCTTTCCTCTTCTCTTTCCCCTTTCCCCTTTTCCCTATCTCCTTTTCTCTTGCCTCTTCCCCTTTTCCTTTACTTTGCACTTTTATTTATTAAAAGTTCATTATTTGTCTTGAGGTACACTAACTAGCATTCAGAAGACAAAATCTCTTCTTAGTATCTTTTCACATCCCTGCCCTTTACATTAGAATTTTAAGCACAACACAACAGTAGTAACTATATGGATAACTATATTCATCACTTCCTTCAGAAAAACTCTCATTTGCTCCAGACTTGATCCTATAGACAGGTAGTCAATGAATGAAACACAATTAGAACCCACTACTCCAAATTGTTTCTCAGAGTACTTTCATTTCCACATTATATAACTTTAAAATTCAATGGTTATGTTTTAGACTGATTCTTGTTTATCTTAATATTGTAGTGGTCACTGTTACATTATAAAAGACAGCTACTTTTGGTCTTATGACTTAAAATTGTAATTGCAACATTCAGGCGATGGAATCATTATTAGCTCATAATCATGGCTCAACTTTTCATTTTCTATTTTAAAAGTTAGACAGCAGTGTTTTCTATTGTTGTACTTTGCTGTTTGCATTTTTTTAAAAAGTCAGTCTATAGAAACGATACAGTCCCACTAATCTGTCAGACAAGACACTATTTTTTTTAGTCTTGTTTCAATATCCAAAATTCTAGAAACTTAACTCTTGGGACCATATCTAATTAGGGTGAGATGGTCTTTTATGATACAATAGTTTTAATATCTTTTGTAGAGTATTAAAAAGTAATTCTGTCTCCTTTTTATGGAAAACCAATTTTATGTATGCTGAGGTATGTTTTGTTTAAACTGTAGAGTTAAACTCTAGTACATATACAGTTCAGCATGAACCCTAATTATTATTTATGTTGATTATGTATGGTTTGTTTGTTTTTTAATTCAAGAATTGGACTTGAACTCAGTATCTGACACTTGTTTTCTCTCATTGGTTGGCACTATATGACTTAAGCCATGCCTCCAACCCCTTTGTGTTTTGTCTTACATTTACATTTGTATAACGATATTGCTTAGATTTACTTCTTTATCATCATTCTCTACCAAGATTTTTCTACATGTTAATGGCAATAATTCCATGTTTATAAATCATTACCAATTTTATACCTAAATGCATCCAACACTCTGCTTTGTGGACAAATGTTAAAAACTGATAATGGGTTGACTATTCATTTGTTTAACATTTAATGTTAATTGTTAGTTAAACTTTTAAAAAATTCAGTTCAATAACTTCCACATACTTTCACTGAAAAGTGAATTATTTTAAACTTATTTTACATTATTCCTGCCATGAACTCCCTTAGTTTAACTTATAGTTGTAGTTAAAAAAGTTAACATACCAATGGTACAATTTAGGATAACATCTCAGCAGCTTATAATAGTGGAATTTCAAACCTTAGTTTTTATTACTGTCAACCAGACAGGTTGTTTGTAAGATTTTTCAGTGTAACAAAAACAGAACAAAATTAGAAGAATTAATTTTGTCCCAACCTGAATTACACTGTAATTTGTGATGAAAAATTTGTGTTGAAAAATTGCTAAGTCCTCCAATAAATGAAGTTACGAGTTTTTGACTTAACACAATAATTATAATGCTCAAATTCTCATTTTAAATTTTAATGTGTTAAGAATAGTGAATACTTTATTGGTGGTTTTTCGATTTGTTATAATTGGATGAGGTAAGTTGGTTAATTAGCCTCAAATGGATTGAAAGCTCAAGATTTATTACTGATTTTTTTAAGTTGGGTAAGAAATTGGAAATTATTTTTTACATGAAAAGTTATCGTTTGGGAATAATTGTACCATGTTGTAATCATTTATAATTTTAATAAGAATGCTGTCTTTATCAAAGGAAAGACATCTTAAGTATTAGTAAGTAATATATATATATATATATATGTATATCATAGAGAATGGACAGCAACTATATGCATTGTTTAAAAGCTGATATAATTTGTTGGAAATTTTAGTGGATTGTAGTTGCACAAAAATTTATTAGCTAGATTTTATTAGCTAAGAAGTTGTATATTAAAAGAAAATCTCAGGTTTGAGTTCTTTATGAGAGGTTATCACAAAGATATTTTAGTTAAAATTACTAAGAGGCATTGAAGTAGATGCTTTATTTTTCACTTAATTATACCCTTTTTTTGGGTTGGGGAATGGTCAAGCTAACATTTTAACATTTTGATAGGACAGAATCTTATGGTGAAAAGGAAATGGAAGGTCACTTGTTCCTTAGGTGAAGAAAATAAATTGAAAAATTACAAGTAAACTATATCATCAGTAATCCACGTGTGGTACATTTATTTTTCTTCAGTGAAAATACAAGAACCAAGGTTAATATTTGCTCAAATTAAGAGTAACTCTTAGATTTTTCCTGATGGATCCAAATTCAATGGATATGTGCAAATGCTTAGTCATTTAATGACGACATAATTCAGGACTTTTTCCAATGTTTAAATAAATGTACAGCTGATTTATTCCCCTTCCTTTTTTTAAGGAATCTAGGTAAAAATGGCTTATCTAACAGTAGCATTTTGTTGGATAAATGTCCGCCTCCAAGACCACCATCTTCACCATATCCTCCTTTACCAAAGGACAAGTTGAATCCACCTACACCTAGTATTTATGTGAGTCTGAATTGACTGACTAAAAATCTGTTAAATGAGTGTTTACCTGTCTTTCATAAAAACTCTCAGTATAATGCCCATTAACAAGCATTACAATTATTGACAACAATGTGGATTTTTGTATGTGGGGGGGGAAAGATCCATCAAAAAGTATAATAACATTTTGTAAGTGCTTCTGTTAACTGTCATTATATTTAGAGTAGTGAGAAATGCCCTGATTTTGAGGAGTGTTATACAAAAAAGCTGAAAATATAACTGAGTATACTAGGTTTAACATTCTGATACTTGTTTAGACCTTAATGTTCATTCTGTTGTATATATCCACTAAAAGTGAAAAGCTGTTAGCTAACATCTAAAAAATTATATTGTGAATATAAAATGTGACAAAAGACGAAAGTAGCTAAAAATCTTGAATAGGTTATTTAAAATGTTTTGGAACTAGCCAGGTGCAAGTAGGTCACATCTGTACTCCTAGCTACTCAGGAGGCTGAGATCTGAGGATCTCAGTTCAAAACCAGCCTAGGCAGAAAACTCTGTGATATTCTTATCTCCAGTTATCTACAAAAACTAGAAAATTAAGCTGTGACTCAAGTGACAGAGCAGTAGTCTTGAGCAAAAAAAAAAAAGCTCAGGGACAGTGCCCAAGCTCTGAGTATATGCCCCAGGACCAGCATAAATCAAATAAGTAAATAAATAAATAAAATAAAATCTAGATATTAGTTTTACTTTATAGAATTTTAGACACTGGATATAGGAGATTTGTGAATAAAAACAATACAAAATAGGGCTACTATTTCCTCCCAATGTCCCACTTATACCTCAAATGGAAAAAATTAACTGACTATATGGTTATATACTGAGAATGATCTTGAATCTGTAAAATGATACTTAAGCTTGATTAAAACTTTTTGATTTTTTTCTTTCTCTCCCTTACTCAGTTCTCAAAAAGAGCATAACATGAAATACACCATCTTAATTACTTCTGAATAACTTCAGTGTTAAGTATATTCATGTTGTATAACTTATCTCTAGAACTTTTGCCAAACTGAAAATCTATCCATTGAACCATCTCCTTTCCTCACTTCCCTCATCCTTTATGAATTTGACTACTTTAGATGCCTTATATAAATAAAATACAGTAGTTGTCTTTCTGAGACTCAACTTGTATCATTTAACTCAGGGGAGGGGAACATCTAGCCTGCAGATTGTATAAGATCCATGAAGTCATTTTGGTCTGACAAGACAACTGCATGTGGGATTGAAAATTGGATAAATCTAGGATACTTTTTCATACAAAAATACCTGCTAACATCACAAGGTCAAGTGGCCTTTTTTAGAGAAAGGGCTCCCCACCCTTGATTTACCACAATGTCCTCAAGATTTATCCATGTTATAGCATATTGTAGGACTTTTTTCCTTTTTAATTCTGAATGATAATTGAAACATTTTGATTTTAACAATGAAATTTTGTACTTATTTTGTTCAGAATATAGTAGAGAAGAGAAATATGTGGTTTCTGTCTTAATATAATAATCAAAAGATATGATAGCAAATAGAAATAGCACATAAAATACATTATTTGAATTGTGGTATATAATGATTGTGAATCTCACACTTCATATTTAAATAAAACCTCTTTGCCTGTAATCTAACCACATGTTTTCATTTTACAGTTGGAAAATAAACGTGATGCTTTCTTTCCCCCATTACATCAATTTTGTACAAATCCAAACAACCCTGTTACAGTTATACGTGGCCTTGCTGGAGCTCTTAAGTTAGGTAAGATTTAACTTAAAAAAAAATGTTAATTGTGTGTGTGCCCATGTACTATATTTGATCCTTTTCCTTAATTACAGACTTGAAGATTGAATTCAGGGATAGGCAAACCTTCTACCACTTCAACTATATGACATACTTTATGGCTTTTAGTTTTATTGTTTAGATAGAGGTTTTATGCTTTAGCCCAGGTCAGCCTCAGACTATAATCCTTCCATCTCTGTCTTCAAGTAGCTGAGATTGTTGTCATTCACCACTATAACTGGCTCGTTTTTCTGAGACAGGGTATTGCTAATTTTTGCCTACACTGGCCTTGATCTATGATCCTCCTGTTACAGCCTGATTAGTTAAAGACATGTACCCCCAGCTGTAGCCAAACCATACACAGACAGAAACACACACACATGATTTGCCATTTCATAAATCAGGTAATGAGTACATTTCTCTTTGAACAGTGTCAACCCTTCCTTCTCTTTTCCCCAATTTCCCCTTGTGGTCCCTACCCACAACTTATATACTTCATTTTTCACATAGTGTATACTGAATAACATGATTGCATTTGTTTTGTTAGGTTTTCCCCTGCCCTTTCTGCGCTGGCCTCCTTCCCCCTCCCGTTTACCCTCCCCCCAATACAAAAACCCCAAAAGCAAAAAGAAGCACCACCAACCAAAAAAAAAACCATTTCCTGAAATTTGTTTTAATAAATAGTATTTTAACTGTTCAGAGAAGTTAAACCTTTGGTTACCTGACTATTTGTGTGTGAATGTCTAGAGTCCTGTGTAGGTTATCATGTCCAGTTACATTTTAGATCTAGCTTCCACATATGAGAGAAAACGTGCACCATTTTTTTCTTCTGAACTTGCCTTGCCTCACTCAGCATGATTTGTTCTAAGTCTCTTCATTTCCCTGTAAATGTCATATTATTGTTTCTAATGGATAAGTAAAATTCCATTGTGTATGTATACCACATTTTGTTGATCCACTCATCTGTTGTGAGGCACCTGGGCTGTTTTTGTAATTTGGCTATTATGAATAGTGCCTCTGTTAACATGGATGTGCAAGTATCTTTACTTGAGCCGGGTAGATAAGAGTCCAACTAGACTTTTAAAACACTGGAGAAAGACTTTTGTTCCTTTGCCTCTTCTACTTTTTTCCATATTTTCATTTTTTCATGTTCCTGTCTCAGACAGAGAGGGAGAGAAAGAACCTTACTGTCACAGTGTATAATTTGAATATATGTTTTTGAAATTGATTACTGGCACTTGGGGGTAGTTTGTAAGTTTGTTTTATTTTGGTCTAATCAAATAATTATGACTTAGAGTAATAGGGGAATTTCTTTTTAAAAATTAGCATACTTGAGCTATAAAGAGGAGGATTTTGTTATGATAATTCCACAAATGTGTACAATGTAATGGAATACTTTCTAAGATAAAATTAGAAATTAGATAAAATTTGGTATTTTTCTTAGCCTATATGATCAGAAAAGAAACTTAGACCTTTGGTTTGCTTATTTCTCTGATGGGGTAGTATGACAGGTAGATTCAGTGTGTCTTTGGTGTGAATTTAGCATGTAACTCAGAATTCTTTTTTAAGCTTTTTTTTTTAGGGAACTGGGTGAAGTGCTACTTCTTCTCCCTCTTTCTTAAAAACCAGGGTGGGAATATTTTAAAACATGATCCTACTTTTTATTTGCTAACTACTTTTATTAATTTTTAAATGAAGACCTGGGACTTTTTTCAACTAAAACTTTGGTGGAAGCTAACAATGAACATGTGGTAGAAGTGAGGACACAGTTGTTGCAGCCAGCAGATGAAAACTGGGATCCCACTGGAACAAAGAAAATCTGGCATTGTGAAAGTAATAGATCTCATACCACAATTGCTAAATATGCACAATACCAAGCCTCCTCATTCCAGGAATCATTGAGAGTAAGTATTGGCTTTTTGGAGATTTTTTTAAAAAGTTGTTTTTAAGATAAGGGCATGTTCCTTTTATAAGCATTTTATTATTTTATGCTAACATCTTGTAAGTGCTATTTAGTATGCTTTTAGTAACTGTCTATGAGTTGGTATAGTAAATGAAACATTGATATTGGAGAAATACAATGAGATGTGTCTTTCATTTCTGAGATACTTCTGTTTAGAACCAAGCTTCTTTAGCACTATTGACATTTTGGGCAGAATAATTTGTTACAATGAGCTGTCCCTGTGTGTGGTAGGATATTTTGTAGCATCCCTGGTTTTTCAAAAATACCTTCAGACATGCCAGATATCTCCTAGAGGGAAAACTGTCCCTCTTGATAAACCAAGTCTTAAGTTTGCTTTATGCTTGGCAAAGTACCTTATTTTATTTTACTTTTTATTCAGTCATTATTACCTGATAGGCAACAATCCTAAGGAAGCATTAGTGTTTTTTTCCTACCAGAATTAGCCCATAAGAGCATGCTGTGAAGGAAAGGTCTAAATGTAGTAATAATTTCAAATTATGCCTACACTGTACAAATAAATCTAGTGAAATTTGTCCTACAGTCATCATGATTCATAGCAAGTTTGTGGTCCATCTAGATCTCTGTAGTTTAAATTTGAGGATATTTCAACTACATGCCCATATTCTGCATATGAATAGCATAAATAGTGAGCAAAATTCAAAGACTATCAAAGGAAAATCTGGAAAACAGTTAAATTTAATTACTAAATGTGAAGGAATTCATAACCAAAGAAACGATTGCTTAGTAATATTCTTTGCAGAATGTCAAAAATTTGGCAAATGTTCATAAATTGTACCTTTAAAAGGACAGAGACAAATTGTCAGTAAGTATTAACTCAGGAAAAAAAACACGACAGTGCTGAGATGATTATGACAAAAGAATTATCAATAAAAGTAATGCTTGTGTTCAGAAGTACCTGTATTTATCCAACACTTGTAAATATGTTATCATTTGTGTATAATCCATTATACATAATGAATTTCTTCCATGTGTCAATAATCAAGAACATGAATATCACACGCATGTACCTCTGCTAGCTTAGAACGTTTAGTTATGGTTGAGACTTACTGGGCCCCTCGTCTTTCCTTAAGTTATTTCTTTTTCCTCTTTGTGAAAATAAGGCAATATAACTAGACATGAACAGCTGTTGCCTATAATTCTATCTATTTTTTAGAAGGCTAAGAATGGGAGGATTGAAGTTCAAGGCCACTTTAGGCAGAATAGGCACAGCAGTGTTGGGCCTGTCATCCTAATCTATGTGAGAAGCTGAGATTTTGAGAATCATGATTTCAGCCTGAACAGAAAAGTCACCAAGATTCCATCTCAAGGGAAAGAAGTTTGACTTGATGGTACATGCATGTTATTCTATGACAGGAAGCTTAAAATAGACAGGTCACAGTCTAGTTGTTACTTAGGCAGGAAGTGAGACCCTATTTCAAAAATAACTAGTACAAAATAGGGCTAGGATATGGCCCAGCAGTAGAGTACCTGCTTACGCAACCATGTGGTCCTGAGTACTACCCAAAACAGAAAGGAAAGAGGTACCAATATGATCGTGTGTAGGGGTAACTTTGTGGGAAGTGGAGAAAGTTGAATACTATGCTAAGAAGATTTGACTTTGCAGAATTTTTACATGTAAAAGTCTGATTAAAAACTTAGTTCACAAGCATAGATAATACCATTCAAACTAGGTGTGAACTGGTTTTTGTTTTTGTTTTTTTACTGCTAAATTGGAAAGGACAGCCAGTTGTGAAATACTAAGCTAGAATGCCTTTTGCTTAACCTATAGGAAGAAAATGAGAAAAGAAGTCACCATAAAGACCATTCAGATAGTGAATCTACATCTTCAGATAAGTAAGTCATTTTTAATGTCCACTTAGTATTTCTGTTTAAAGGTAATGATTTTAATATTATATCTCTCTCTTCTTAAGTTCTGGGAGGAGGAGGAAAGGACCCTTTAAAACCATAAAGTTCGGGACCAACATTGACCTGTCTGATGACAAAAAGTAAGTCATTAGTAGTTACAGTTCTATGAATTAATGCAAAGAGGTATCCTCGAGATTGAAAATTGTTTACAGTTTCTAATTCTGTTTCATTCTTTGCCACTTTTCTAACAAATCCCCCCCTTTTTTTTTGTTGGTTGTGGGGTTTGAACTCTGAGCCTGGGTGCTGTTCTCAGCTCTTCAGCTCAAGGCTAGTGCTCTACCACTTGAGCCACAGCACCACTTGCCGCTTTTTCTGCTTATGTGGTGCTGAGGAATCGAACCAGGGCCTCATGCATGTAAGGCAAGCACTCTACCACTGAGCCATCTTCCCAGTCCCCACCCTGAAGGGTTGTGGGTTTTTTTTTTTTTTTTTTTTTTTTTTTTTTTTTTTTTTTTTTTTTTTTTTTGGTTGTGGAGCTTGAACTCTGGGCCTGAGCACTGTCCCTTGAGCTCTTCAGCTCACGGTGAGCACTCTACCACTTGAGCCACAGCGCCACTTCTGTTTTTCTGTGGTTAATTGGAGATAAGAATCTTAAGGACTTTCCTTGCCTGGACTGGCTTTGAGCTTTGATCCTCAGATCTCAGCCTTCTGAGTAGCTAGGATTACAGGCGTGAGCCATTGGCTGGCCTTGAACTCATGTCCTTCTGCCTTGGTCTCACAAATGCTGAGATTACATGTATATGCCACAAAATCTGGCTAAATTATTTTCTTTAAGAATTTCATGAAGTGTTTCAAGGCCATGACTTTATGCTTAATTATACAATCATAACATTATTCATTTTAATTACACAAAGTAAGATTATATAAGATGCAGTTAATTATACAGCACAACTATAAAAATCATTTTCATTCAATTATTTGGTCTGTAAATTTTAGACTTTTAAGAAGGTTTTTTTTCAGTAAAACTTTAAGCAAGTATTTCATACATGAAAGCAAAATATTGATTTAATCATTTTTCTGATTGTAACAGCATAGAAGGAGTGATTAACTTTGAGAAATATTTGAAGCATGGCTTCACTTTTGGCCTTATTTTCTTACAGGTGGAAGTTACAGCTACATGAGCTGACTAAACTTCCTGCTTTTGTGCGTGTCGTATCAGCAGGAAATCTTCTAAGCCATGTTGGTCATACTATACTGGGCATGAACACAGTTCAACTATACATGAAAGTTCCAGGAAGCAGAACACCAGGTAATTTTTATATCATACAATTGAAAGAATAAAATGAGAAACATGAAAAAGAACCAGAACTTATTTAAAATGAATACAACTAGAAAAGAATGGCTCTTATAAAATTAGAGACTTTAATAGTGGTCAAATTAATTTTTCTCCCATTTAGATTATCTGTTTAACAGTAGTGCATAAATAATAATGGCTTGTTCTCTAGTAAAGAGGTTATTGGAGTACTTGGGAAGAAAAGTCCCTATAACCTAAAGACTTATTTGCCCCCATCTCCTGTAGGGAGGACAGTGTTTTCTATACTTTCACTGTTTCTTCTTTTTCTGTAACCACAATTATAATATGTATAATTAGTTGGATATGGTGGTGCATGCCTTGGAATCCTAGCACTTGGAACACTGAGCTAGGAGGATCTAGAGTTCAAGGACAGTCTGGGCTCCATGGTGAGACCCAACCTCAGGGAAAAAAAAAAACAAACCCAAAACATGACGTTATATATATAAATAAAATCTGAATAATATCATGATCATGAATTTGTGTGTGTGTGTGTCTAAAACAGTTTTCATTAAACAATACATTTTTCTAATCTATTCCACTCTTTCTATTTAAAAAGAAAGCAGTCCTCTAGGGATTATAGTTGACAGTTTAAAAACCCCTTAATTATACTGATGACCCATTCTGGTATTTAGTCTTTTGCACTAATTAACTAACTTGACTTGTCATTTTTGGCATTCCTTCCCTGAATTTTTTTCCTCCTATTATCAAATTAATTACCTTATTTTCAACCTTCACATTTCCATTTGACACCAATGTACCATGTTCTTTGTGTTTCTTTGGGTGACATGAGATTTCATGGAGTGATGTTTGAAATAGTTAATATTATTTCTACAACCCTGACACTGATCTATTAGAAGAGATAACTGATGATAACCAGTTTTGCTATACTAGTACCTATAGGCTGCATATCTCCCTCGGGTGCTTCAGTTTTCTACTGGCTGCTGTGAGCTTAATGAATCATAGTTTAAGAATTGTTTCAAAATGTGATTATCCTGCTTCTGGGTAGCATAGGTCAGTGATTTCCATACCTGACTGTTCATTTGAATCTCCTGATAAGCTTTGTAAAAACAGATAATTGATCTCTAGGGATTGAAATCCAACTGAGTATTATTAAACTATGACACAAAAAATGTTCCCCATGGGATTCTAATTTTATAGCTAGGGTTAGAATGAATCATTGGTTTATATATTTTATTCCCTTGCATTTGAAGCCTACTTCTAGATATTTTATCCACAGTTATGTTATCCACACAACAATATAAATATTGGGCAAGCATTTTGAACCCACTAGTTTTATTTTGTATTTAGTGTCAGACTGGTTCTATTAGAGCTCATTCCAGTTAAAAACTTTTCTTCCATCCAGTTTGAATTATTTTATGGAATTTTATTTACTTATTTTGTTTATATTCTTTGTGGAATAAAGTTAAAAACCATCCTTTCTTCATAGACTGCTTGTCACTGAGGCCTGGATTATTTTGGGCTTACTTATTTATGTCATTTTAATTTTCCAGAATTGACCTTTGTAATCTCAAAAGGTTCTCTGATGAATTTCTTTAGGGTGTAGGGTTTATATTGAATTGAAACCTTTTTATGCAACTACTTAAAGATAATTTTAAAAGATATATAATTTTTAATTAACAAAAGATTGAAACATTGAATCTTAAGAATTATTGAAGTCAAATAATTTTTAGAAATTATAGTCATGTTGAAGTTTTAAAATAGGTGAAGTTAATTTTAATCCATTATCTGAAAAGATACAAACCTGTAATTATTAAAATTGAGATTTTTCATTTTTCATGCTTAGTCTTTGAAATCCAATGCAAAAACATCATTTTTCAACTCATATTTCAAATCATTGTCATACTAGGCATGTTCTTATAAGAAATGTATAGTTTAATCATTTCAGTTGAGTTTTTAAGAGCCATTATTATGAGTATGTTATGGAATAAGCACTCTTTCCTGGAGTTACATAGATTATTATCAGTGGCGCTTTTTTTTAATGGACTTTGACATGTTACATTCTGAACCGTAAAGATGTTCTTGGTCTTTACTCTAAAATTGTTTTCATTTAAATGGTTGGGCTCCAGCATCTCTAATTTCAATTAGAGGTAATTTTTAATCTAGAGTCCTTGCAATGGACAATTCCAAACATTGACCTTTAGTAGGTGACAATTTTTGAGTTATTTGAGTTATAGGTATTTGAGTATTGAGTTATAGGTAGACAAAATGAAAAACTCCTTGCTTCAGTCCTTTTCAGAAACTCCAATTAGGTTAGTATAATTCCTTCAAAATAAAGTCCACTCTGATCCTTTAGAACCAGACATATTCTGTAAGACTTTTAAATCAGTCTATCATCAGACCAGTGATGTGGGTAGTGCTAGATAAGTTAAACATACCACATATATCTACCAGGTTTTAGTCACCTTTGTTCAGAAACAGTTTCACTTGGTTGTTATGAATCTACAACTATTTCCTTGACTTTTGGCAAAGTTGATCTTTGATCATTTAGATAGATTTGGTTTTTGTTTTGTTTTTATTTTTAATTGGTGTTTCTAAAGAAGAATGGACCTTTAGAGTTTCCTACTCTGCCGTTTTTATTGACGTCACTCCCTGGAATGGCTGTATTTTGAAAATGAAGCTTCTTGCCTCTTTTCCAGTGTCACTGCTTATGAGAAATTCAGATTAGCTCACAAGTTAAAAAATGATAATGGCATCCATAGTACCTTATATTTATTGCTTACTGTGTATTAGGCATTGTTCTAATCAATGATTTTTTTCATTGCTATTCAAAACAATTCAGTAATTTTATAGTTGTTATTATCTGCTCTTACATATGAAGCAACTGGTCAGAGATGTTTAACTCCAAAGCTATAGAAGCCCTTACTAAATAAGTTATGAGTTGACCAAACTCTGTAGAATTTTATAATGTACTAATACCGGCCCCCACCTTTTTTTTTAGGTCATCAAGAAAATAACAACTTCTGTTCAGTTAACATAAATATTGGCCCAGGTGACTGTGAATGGTTTGTTGTTCCTGAAGGTTACTGGGGTGTTCTGAATGACTTCTGTGAAAAGTAGGTTTCTAAGCTAAAATTTTGTTTAAATATAATTATTTAAAAACAGGCTAAAGGACAACTTGCCAAACTGGATACCCTAATTATTTGATTCAAACTAGATTTTACTGGAAATATTTCATGTAATAGTAATAGTTGGTAAGACTGAATTTTAAAAATGGTAAAAGGTATATATTCTAAGAAAAATAGTTTTATTATAAATGCTTTTAGAAAGTGGAAGGAATTTATTGAGTACCTTTATAGTTAGGAATAACTTCAGCTTGAATTTACTATTCTTTGCTATATCATGATATAAATCCTTTTTGAAACTTTTCCTATAAAGGAATTTTAGGAAAGTTAACTAACTGCTTTTATCTCATGAAAGAATATGTATATTGTTCTTTTTCTAGATAGAATGTTAGCTTATTATGTGAGCACCTGACACTTTCCTTTTAGTAGCAACACCTGAATATTATTGAGATAGGAATTATAAACATAATTATAAACATGTAATTATTTCTCTTCCTCCTTCTCCTCCCAGGAAAATGATGGGGGGTAGGAATCACCAGTGAAAATGCATATGTATGAAGTTACTTTGAATTGAATTGAATTCTACATATTAACTTGTAATTTCTTACTTGGCTGAAGGATCTTTGTTGTTTTAATCAATATTAATCAGAAGTACATCATAAATTGAAAAAGAAAATTTTCTTGGGTATTTATAGTGTTTTTATTTCTTAAAATTTGAGATTGTAGTATATTGTTACAGCTACAGTATAGTGGCCCTTGCTTATTATTTCTAAGTAGAGATTGGCTAATTTTAGGTAGGTTTTTTTTTCTCTACCTAAATGAAAAAATTTATTGGGAACAAAGATAATTAGAATAAGTAGATAAACTCCCAAAATCTTGATCTTGAGGATAATAAAACCATCAAGTTTAATATGAAAAGTTATGTAAATTTATTAGCTAATTTGTGGAAATAGCACATACTATACACAACATGTGGCCTATTACTTTTAGTACCAGATATGTAGTTTATTTTATCTTCTCAATATCCCATTTACCTTTTAGCAATTTACAGGTACTCCAGAGAACAAAGAGCTCTTTAAAAAAAAAGTCATTATTGCACATATACTAAAGTATATTCTTCTTTGGTAGCTTTGGATTTTTTTTGGATCCTCAAAATGTCAGCAGTAATACTGATCTCTCTTTTTTTGCCAGTCCTAGGGATTGAACTCTGGGACTGGGCACTGTACTTGAGCTTCTTTTTTCTCAAGGTTAGCACTCTACTACTTGACCCACAGAGCCACTTCTGGCTTTTTCTGAGTTAAGTTTATTGGAGATAAGAGTTGCATGGACTTTCCTGCCCAGGCTGGCTTGGAACTGTGATCCTCTGATGTCGGCCTCCTGAGTAGCTAGGATTACAGACATGAGCCACTGGCACCTGGTTTACAATACTAATCTAAGTTATCTAGCACTCAATGGTAATTAATTGCACACTCTATAAGTTTCATTGAAATTAATAAACATTAAAAAAAACAAAAAAACTTTTCTAAGGAGCCTTTAAAGCACTTGATACATTTGCCCTCTTTTTTCCTCCTTTCAGAAACAATTTGAATTTCCTAATGGGTTCTTGGTGGCCCAACCTTGAAGATCTTTATGAAGCAAATGTTCCTGTGTATAGATTTATTCAGCGACCTGGAGATCTGGTCTGGATAAATGCAGGCACTGTTCATTGGGTTCAGGCTATTGGCTGGTGCAACAACATTGCTTGGAATGTTGGTCCACTTACAGGTATTTTTAAAAAATATATTTTAGCTGGGAAGGTGGCTCAGTGGTAGAGTGCTTTCCTTGCACACATGAGGCCCTGGGTTCAATTCCTCAGCACCACATAAGCACAAAAAGCCAGAAGTGGTGCTGTGGCTCAAGTGGTAGAGGGCTAGCCTTGAGCTGAAGAGCTGAAGGACAGTGCCCAGGCCCAGAGTTCAGGCCCCCGACCCAGGCGGGGGTGGGGGCAGGGGGGGGAGGCACAGATATATACTTTAAAAATTTAATTTATAAAGGCTTGTGTCTACTAAATATGTTCTTTGTTCTTGAAAAAAAATACTAAATATTGGAACAATTCTCCTTATATAAAAATATGTGTAGTATAAGATACTAAGTGGAACTTAACAAGTGAAAATCCAAAATCATAGATCTCAACAAATAACAAGTTTGTGTCCTTATAATCATGGAAGATACACTTTGAAGTTTGTTTTAGAATTCCTCATTTTATTTAATAAAGTCCTTAATGGTGGAAAACAAAGAATATATTTTAATTTTTGTTTGAGCTCATGTCATATGTTGGAATTATGCCTGCTTTTGGGCATTATCCACATAAGACTGAGAATATGGCCTATGGAGTCAGAAACACCTGTATTAGGACCAAAACCTAGCTCTTGTTATTTTGGGCAAGTTATTTAATTTCTATAATCCTTGAACTCTTCATCTGTTTAATGAAGATAACAAAATTAATATGGTGATACTGCGATAATGGATAGAAACATGTTTAACACTGCCTGGCACATAGTAATAGAAAGCACTCTATGTGATAAGTACTGATATTGTTACTACAATTATAAAAAATAAAAGTTACTATTAGAATGTTTGGATGTTTTCAAAATTGGTATTGTAGGTATCACCTGAGTGGGTGATAATATAATCTTCTTATCTTTTGGTACTTGGGGTTGCATTATAACTGTTTTTTTTTTCCTAGCCTGCCAGTATAAATTGGCAGTGGAACGGTACGAATGGAACAAATTGCAAAGTGTGAAGTCAATAGTACCCATGGTTCATCTTTCCTGGAATATGGCACGAAATATCAAGGTCTCAGATCCAAAGCTTTTTGAAATGATTAAGTAAGTGCTTTCTAAAACCACTGTAGTTCTCTCTTTCTGGGGAGTGTCTCCTCTACCTTTCTCCCCCCATACAGTTACACTTAAATTGAAAACAAAAAGCTCCAGAATTCTAACAAAATGTAATATGAGAATCCACATGTTAAAAAATATTTCCTTTCCAAACATCCCACTATGGCACAGAAAGGAACAAAAACAAATGATTTTAAACTTGTAGATTTGTATTCTACTTCCCCAATCTTACCTGAACTACCTGATCCCAGGAGAATTAGTTTTAATTTTGTAAATTTGCTTTGTAGAAACTAAAGGGAGAATGGCATCACAGAATTATTGTTGTTACAGAGTTAATTGCAGTTAACATAGGGCTTTGACTAAAATGTCAGTGCTTTATTGCTCATAAATTAAACTGTTCCCCTTTTCTTGGCTGCTTTAAACACTTACTACAAGTTTATATGAGTTATTACTAGCCACTTAGTTTGAGTACATATGTACTACTGAGTAAATGTCAATTTGTTGTTATTTTTTCTACCTATTTTGTAAATCTACTCAGAAGCAATATTTTCAAATAGTACAGTACTGTTGTGTTTGTCATTACAAAATTCTATCTCCAAGCAGTATAGAATTCTGGTCAAATAAAAATAGGAAATGATAGGTTAAGTAAAGTTGAACAAACCTTATTTGGGGGAAAGATTTTTTTTTTCATTTTAATTATTTTGTTTTTTCTGGTATATCAAAGATATTAAAGATAGCCAAGGATACTGCCATTTCAACATGCAATCACTATAAAATAATAAGATGTATCACATTATTTTAGCCTTCATATTTTTTGTGCATTTTCCTCTCACCATATTTCAACATTCCAAATTAAGTACCATTCAATAGCCACATGGGAATCTGTAAAGTAGATAACTTGGCTTGAAATTTAATTTTTAAACTTTTCCTTAAGTATCCCTTTTAGCACCTTCCTCTCTTTGTAGTAAAACTAACACTGTATTTGATCCTGTATCTCCAAAACATTTCTGGGGGAAAGATTTTTGGATACTGTGTTTAATATGCTTTATGAGTGGGAAATAATTTGTTAATATTTATTGTTTCCCTAGTTAATTTGACTAGTTTCTTTTGAAGAATTAGGTTCAAACATTCATTTTTGGAATGCATTTCTTTTTACTCAGATAAACTGAGTTTATTTTTAGTCTTTGTTAAAATCATATTTACACTGAGTATTTTCCCTGTGGGTATGTTAATTTGGTCAGCATGTTTTCAAAATAGTGTATTTTGAAAATAATCCTAGCTTATTAAGTGATCTCCAACCTAAATTCAAATTTTTATTCAAACAATAAATGGGTCAGCAAGGTAACATGAGTATGAATTACCTTACGACACAATCTTTTTTCATTTGCACTATTTTACCTAGTCTTAGGCAGAAGGAGTATGTATAGGAAGACCAAAGGAAACAAAGCAAGGCATGATAAGAAATGTAATGTAAGCCCGGGCGCTGGTGGCTCACGCCTGTAATCCTAGCTACTCAGGAGGCTGAGATCTGAGGATCTCGGTTCAAAGCCAGCCTGGGCAGGAGAGACCGTGAGACTCCTATCTCCAATAAACCACCAGAAAACCGGAAGTGGCGCTGTAGCTCAAGTGGTAGAGCGCTCGCTTTGAGCTGAAGAGCTGAGGGACAGCGCCCAGGCCCAGAGTTCAAGCCCCACAACCGACAAAAAAAAAAAAAAAAAAAAGAAATGTAAAATTTCCTTAAAGCAATGAATCTCTTTATCCATATTCTCTTTATAAATATCCTCTTTATTTATAATGTAATTAGCAGCAGGTGGGGATTGTCTCAGTTTGTTTTATTAGAACATTTAAGTTCAGGCCAGGTACCAGTAGTTCACGCCTGTAATCCTGGCTACTCAGGAGGCTGAGATCTGAGGATCACTGTTTGAAGCCAGCCCCCCAGGAGGAAAGTCTATGAGACTCTTATCTCCAATAAACTACTTAGAAAAAGCTGAAAGTGGTACTATGGCTCAAGTGGTAGAGGCCTAACCTTGAGTACGAAGAAGCTCAGAGACAGCACCCAAGCCCAGAGTTCAAGCCCCAGGAATGGGGAAAAAAAGAATAAAGTCAGTGTTATTAAGTGGTGGTAGGGATAACCTAGTTACTGAAGGTGTTAAATGAGTTAGAGGTAGGTGTAAACTAAATTCTGACTCAGATCACCCAAAGATAAAGGGATGATAGAGTTTCAAAGCCATTTAGATAACAGCTGTTGAAGTCATTCAGTACATTATGAACAGATAAGGATTTTCATAATTGGAATGAATGTTAAAAGGTATTTTGTCAAAACTCATAACAATCTGTATAGAAGCCATAATTTTAAAATATTTATTTATTTAGTCATGGGGCCTGAACTCTGTGCCTGGGCACTGTCCCTCAGCTCTTTAGCTCAAAGCTAGCGCTCTAGCCATAGTGCCATTTCCAGCTTTTTCTGCTTATGAAGTGCTGAGGAATTGAACCAATGGCCTCATGCATGCAAGGCAAGCACTCTACCACTGAGCCACCTTCCCAGCCCAGAATCCATAATTTTTTATCATCAAGCAGCTTCTTAAAATATTCTCCTCATCTCACTTGTGGTTCTTCATGAAATTGCCTAAAATCTACCTGTCCTTTGGTCCCACTTGAATTCCCTAAATATATTTGGGTTTGTTATAGAATAAACCCTTTCAGCCTATGTTTACAAGTCAGATCTATGGGAGATGATGCTTTAGGACTAAAGGACACAGCAATTTATAAGATGAATTCCTAATCTTCAGGGAACTTAAGTTTAGGGGAGCAAGACAGAGATACCACCAAGAAGGAGTTCTGAGAAGTTATTTATATGAATAAAATAAATATATGCATGCAAAATACTACTTTGCTTAAAGTGATCAGGAAAGGTATCTGAGACTGAGTTTTGTGAGTAGCCCTGAATAATGAATGAGATGAAGTCAACCATTCAAAACTCTATGGACCAGACATTTTAGATATTAAAAAAAAAAAAGACAAGTGAAAGCAGAATCAGAGACAACTTTGACATGTTTATGAGACAAAAAGGCCAATGTGATGATAGCAGAATGGCAGAAAGGAAGTGTGATAGTAATAAGCCTAACAAAGTAAGCAAGAATGAAATGAAGGCTGTACATAGACTTTTAGGTCATGGGAAAAAGTTAGTTTTTTCTAAGAGAATAGTAGTGCACTAGGTCCCAGTTTCCTACCCTACTTAGGAAGCTGAGATCTAGAGGATAGAGATTCAAGGCCAGCCGAGACAGAAATGTTTGCTAGATTCCATCTCCAAAATAATCAACAAAAGCAGGGTGTGGAGGTGTGATTCAAGCAGTAGATTGCTAGCCTAGCAAACACAATGCCCCTGAGTCCAAACCCCATTAAAGATAAACCGAATCTAGTTGCTCTTTGGAGGATGGATTCTACAAGGAAAGATTAGAAGTAGAGAAGACAGGAGTACAGAAAAACATGGATAGAGATTTTCCTATGAAGGGGTGATCAAACTAAGGGTTTGTGGAGTTAGAGCTAACAGAACTTGCTCATACAATTACGGTGGAGGAAGGTAAAAAGAAACCAAGGAAAGATTGTTGTCAATATTGTGTTCTTTCTACCTGATCTTCAGTAATTTGAAGTGTTCACTTCTTTCCCATGTTCTCATCATACTTGCCATCCTAGGCTCCTTCCAATTTATATCTTGCCTTACTATTATGAAGTATTAGGCATCAACATCTACCTTGTTTTTGCATAGTTATTCTTCATTGAAATTAGATGAACAGGATTGTGGGATGTTTTTTCACTTATGATTACTGTCGATAATGTTGTTTCTTACATTAAAAAATTTAATTTATTGGCATATTTATCTATACTTCATTTTTCCTGGCAGTAAAAAATGGCTAATCATCTGAATCTTGATTGTGTTCTTCATTAATTGTGCTCCCAGCTTGAATTGTCTGGAGATGGATTTAGGAAGCTCTTCTTATCATCACCCTAATTCAAAATAATAACTTCAAGTTTAGATCCTTGAGCCTGGTTTTGTAAGTTTCCTTTTTAAAATGTAGTCCTTCAGCCATTGCCACAAATATACTTTTTACCAGCTAGCAACTGTTCTTATTCTTTCATTTAATGACTACTTGCTAGCTGATAAAAGTCTCTGTAATAGGTACTGAGATATAAAATCTGGTGTAGGTCTAGTTGGTGAAAGAGAAACAAGATGAATCCACTGGAGTCTTCTCCCTCACAAAATGTAAGCATTCATTTTAAGCTCTACATTCTGGGGAGAAAGAAGTTTTGTGTGAAAGGTAAAAATGTAGAGGCAAGGGGAGCAGAAACAGTAAAGGAGTTGTTTGGGGTCATCTTCTCTTCTCCCACTTTCATTCTTTCTCCACCACCTAACTCCCTTGCTCTCTTTCCTGACCTCCTTTCCCTACGTACTATAACTTTGAATGGTAAGTTCTGCTATATGCTTATTGACCACAGTGTATATATTTTGGTTTGAGGACAATGTATGTGATGAATAGTAGAATATGATGTAGTCATAAATTGGCCTAGAGAAAATCATGCTTTATGTATGCAACTTAAGACTGTTCTGCAGGAATGCTCTTAGTGTCTAATTTAAAAACTAAAATGATCTAATTTGGGTTTCATAAAGATATTTCTAGCTATGAAGTATGTAAAATAAACTTCTGATTGATAGGGGAAAGGAATGAATCAGGTCCTTTGGTTTTCAATTCTGGATTCTAGATGGTTTAGAAATAAAGCTAGCTATAGTAAGTTGAACTTGATACTTAGCCAAGCATTGAGCAAAATACTCTCTGGATTACATCTGAGTTATTCCTCGCAGCATCCCAAGTACATCTCATTACCCAGTTATTGTAACTAGGGTTTAAGTCTCTGCCTGTCATATGTGGAAACACTTGGATGTACCTGCAGTATATAACTTCATTTGGTGACAAATTTGAGTAGCTAGAAAAATA